CTGTCCTGGAACTCACTCTGTAGACCAGGTTGGCCTCGAACTCACAGAGATCCACCTGCCTCTGCCTCCCGAGTGCTGATATTAAAGGTGTGTGCCACCAATGCCTGGCACGTGCCAAATTTCTAGGCCTGTGACCTTAACAAGGCCTGATACAAACCATGGCTTGTCCAGTGAATGCAAGCATCTATGTCCCAGTGGTGACTGTGAAATTAAGAGAAGGCTCTGGTGAAAACCACTGTGTTGGGGAAAGGGAGCTCCTCTTGTATTTCATCACATTCCCATGGCTGCAGCGTTTTGCTGGAGTGTTCTTCATATTCTTTCCTATAAATCTGCTTGGACCAGGACACTAAAGCCTCCTTATTAATCGTTTCTGAATCTGACCACTCAATTTCCTACTTAAAATTGGACACTTTCTGGTTAAACTTTTATTAGTATGAGAAGCAGTTTTCCTTTTAAAGATAAGTTGATGTTTCTTCTTTGACAGTTGCCCGTGTTTAAACACGCCGCCCTGTGATCCCCACCATCCCTTCTCTCATGCCCCTCCTGCTGCCTCTGAGCCTTCTTCCCCGAATAGCCCCATCTCCCTCAAAGTCTCAAAAGATGCCTTTAATTCCTATTTCTCGTTGTAGCAATAGGCCGTGCATACTCTGCGTTAGGCAAAAGTGGAGCGACCATCAGCCATCAACAAAAACAGCACCGAACGAGAGAAGGGGGACTTGATGTGTTTTCTCTTCATGTTTAATCCGCAATCTCTGTTTTTCTGCACTGCGGTGTCCATTCATGTCTCTGATTGTTACGGAACCTTTCTGAACCGTTGCTGCAATTTTAACTGCATTTTCTATTTCTCCCCCTTTCCCTTTTGCCCTTTGCTGTAGATCTACCAAGTCCAAAAGGTAGGCTCTGTTCTCCTCGTCTAACACGCATGTGCTGTTTCCCCCTTGCCGAGGCCTTGCCACCTGCCCAGCAATGCTGCGCGCTGACCACCCCGCTTGCCATGGGCACTGCCACCTCTGTCTACCCTGCCTGACTAACAAGCCTCTTCTGCTTGAGACAGAAGCCATGCATTGAACACATCCCTTGATCCTTTTGCCTCAAGGAATTGGAAAGTTGTCTCTGATACAGAAAAGAAAAATTCTAACTCAAGCCGCGTTTTATAATTGGAGGAAGCTTTTAAAATTGCATATTAAAGGACAAAGTTTTTATTTTT